GAAATGGCTCCTCACGGACGCCAATCCAATCATACTTGAAAGGTCAATGTGCCGTGTTAGGATGGAGCTTATATATATGTGTATAAATCCAACGATGTTTAAATGAAAACTTGGCGTGAGAGTGTGAAAAACCTAATCAGATAACTCGCTCACATTTTTCGCGTTGCGCTTCCTGGATAAGGATGTCGGGATCATCGTACTTGATGGTCGGAGACAGTTTTCCGGAGTTCGTTACTTTAACCCTGACACTGACTTGAACGTTCTAGTCTTCCATTTACTCCAAATGGGCAGGGATGAATCTGAAACCCAAACCGGCACACAAAGGTCCGGGATTAACGGTTGTAAGAGTCGGCCTTAAGCTCATTCCCCTCCCAATTGGCAATGCGTTTTTCTAAAGTTGGATTAATGCCATTCCTCCGAGTCACAACGATTCTTTCAACCCTTGCAAAGGAAGTATGTGACCTTCACGAACCCGGAATTCAAGTGTTTTTTCCTCGCATTTCTTCAGATATCGTTGTCATCTTTGGTATTGGTAATGGCGATTTATAGAGCACAAGAATCTGCAGCTTATAGAGATTCCGAGGGATGACCGCGAGTGTTGGTGTCCCAGTTGTTTTGTCGTTGTCACCGATGTGGTTTGACCCTGTGGTTCGAGGGTCAAACCCCACCACAAACACCATGCTTCGGTGGTGAATGACTTCGTTGTCGTCCGGTTCAATAGCACGCCTATTCTATTTGGACCTTATGTGGTTTGCCACTCTTACGTTACCAGTTTCCATCACTGAACAGTTGGTCTTTGTGACTATGGGGTTCACCTCGTCTGCTATTCATCACACAAATGGGGTAATAAAAAGGATTATTAGTGGTTAGCGGTAATGAAATCGAATGATTGAGTAATGAAAAGAGAGAGAGAAAACACAGGGCCAGAGACAAGTCTTTAACCTTCTAACGACATAAATAGGTAGGCTACAATGAAAAGATAAAAAATCCCATTGCCGGTTAGGAGTGATACCATGGTATAATAATTAGAAATCTAATATAATTACAAGAGTAGCATTGTTAATGGTGTGACTATGAGTAACAGTTGCAGTCTTCTGTTTCTGTTGATTTTCACCGGTCCACGGAAAGTAGACTTAAGTGAGACGAAGGAACACTGATTCATAGTCAGCTACACCGTTTTGCCCGATGACCAGAACATTGGATTCGCAATCCCTCGCTCAACTAGGCAAATAGTGCCTGTGATACCTAAACAAATGGGACACCAGGACAGGTTTCGGTTTTTTTTAATTAGTAATATACGAATGATATATATGTATACAGAGGTGCATGGTCATTGATACAGCGGTTTCGCAGATTCTCTCCTCGATCTTTGTTAAATATCTACTCTTTTGTTCTTTCAGGGTGCATATGGAAACATGACAAATGCCGCAGATACTTATTACGGAACTTTGTTTTCCCATCTTTCCTACGGCATGGGAGAGAATGGAGCTGGAGCGAATTCTACTCCGAACGCCACGTACACAGATGCGGCAATGGCTGCTGCAGCCGCTGCAGCAGCAATGGCTGCCGCGACAGGAGTCGGAGATTGGACCAACGTCAGCAGTTACCAGCAAGGTTCAGGTGTTCTACCCAACCTAAATCCACCAATTCCTACAGTAAACATGACTGTCGGCCCTGGTGTGACTAATTCCGCGGAACTTTCCATACCATCAGGTGCTGCCAGCACTACTTCTTCGTCGAATATCACTTCCCCGTATTGCGCTACCTTGCTCGCCGCCGTTGCTGCTGCTGCGGCCGCTGCTGCCTATCCGGTTCATCCGACTCAATCCGGCAATGTTTCTGCTGGCTCAAGTACGCCAGCTGCCGATTATGCAGCTTTATACTATCGTTCTTCTGGCCAACGACCACCTGTAGTCAGTTCGGCTGCAAATCCTTACAACAGTGCAGTGTACCCTACTGCCAGTTGGCCCTATTCAGTTTCCCCAAACCACTACCCGAACAGCTCCCAAGTGGTCGACAGAATCAATCCTAATCTGGTCCCGGTGGACGGGTGGTCCGCTTCAAACGGGCAACCGGCTGTTATCCCTTCCATTGGATCCGAGTTGGGTATAAACTGCAGACAGCACACTCCGCATATTCCTTCAACCATGTTCTCTTCAACTGTTCCATGTGATCGAGCGAGCGCTGTACAGAATGATCTTATAGGACAGCCTTATTTTACTTCACCATCCAACAGGAAACCTATCTCGAGCATCCCTGTTTCTCAGTCACTGACAACCACCGGGAATGAACATTCAGGTCTTTATTCAATGCTCCCTGATGAAGTGTGCGAGGAGGCTTACCTGGCTCCAGATTCACATCAGCTAGTCAACGACAACACAGCTAACAATGTTATTCAAACAGTTTACAAGCATGTAGAACCATTCTCCCAACATATGTGTCAGCATACTACTGAACATCAACAACAACAACAACAACAACAAACGCGACAGCAACCACAACAAAAAATCCTCGATGAGTTCAATCGATTATCCCTGGAAAGTAATCGAGACTATAAACCACCTACCCCATGTGGTCCAACGCCGTCAACCGAGTCGGTCGGTGAATCGGTCCCACAAGCAGCGAATTCCAGTCAGTGGCAATACCATGAGGTGAATACAGAACATGAAGTTTTCCTCAGTGTATGGGCTCATCTTTTAATGAGGTCCTTACCACATGTTAACATTTTGCTCTTTGTTGTGAAAACTGAAACTTAAGGCTGCCCATGGTGTTGTATTCGTTTCTCTGGGCTTCCTTAACTTGTGATGTTTTCAGACGTTAACCCAAATTGGAATTGAAGAAGGCGCTTTAACAAAAGGAACTGGTATGAATCTTCCAGAGGACTATGTACAGTTTCTCAGTTTCGTTTCTTCTGGGTGGAAAATCTTTTCCACTGTACTGGTGGTATACTGTTTGGGGGTCACTTTTCACTCAACACCACTTCCCAGTAATTGTAGACGTCTCCTACCTTGAAGCTCCATAATCACCATGGAGCCGGCTTATCCTCCAAGGAGCCATCCGTAGTAAACAAAATGTAAATTTGTTCTGGATAGATTGAACCGGTTTTAACTTCTAATATATCTGATTCTATCAAATAAATCGACTTCGGTCTGTCGTCCAGTTCTGTGGATCATTTAACCAGGAATGTCCATATTCGTGGGCCTGTTGGGGTGAACTACAGTTGATATTATTATTGGTATTATCATATTTAGGTTATTATTATAAATCATACTTGAATTTTATTGGTGGTCATTTTAGAATAACAGCGAAGGCTCACCCCAATAACTCCTATCCGATCCTCTCTACACGTTTTGTTATTTGAACAAACTCATGATCCACTCAACAAAATGTGCATCGTTTGGAGTACACTGTAAGTATTTAACTCGTCCTTGGTTTTGTAGTTACTGTGGTGATTGAGCTATTGTCAGTGTCCGAGCCACCACCAGCTTTGTCTCAGCTGTAGCTCACGGTAAACAGTGTTTTCATTTTTGTCGATTTCTAGTCAGCTTAGCTATCTCACACAAATCACGTGGCTTCACTGACCAACCGAATAAACGTCCGTACGCGAGTTTCATAAGATGCGAGACTGAGGTATGCCTCATTTCGACACTGGAAGATCGTATTAAGACAAGTGGTCAATCAGGCGCTGTAAAAACGTACGATCAATTGACCAATCAGTTCAGTGTTTACAACCATGTGCCATGCACCTTTGTACAGCGGTTTTTGTTGCTGTCTTTCGGCCTCCCATTCGGATAAAAGAGCAGAATGAAAATTGGATTGTTGAGGGCAGAGCCAAAGAGAAGATAAAGAATTCATATTGATTGGGGTTGCAGGAATAATGAGTAGATGCACGAATGCCACTGGTTGTGACATCGTCATATCACTCAGTATCTCTAATCACTAGTTACCACGATCTCAGGGTCCTCATCCAGGGAGCCAAATGGACATATATGACAGAGTGTTCTCGCACGGGTTTTCATGCCAGGTGTAGGTTTGACCGCCATTTGATATTTCCCTTCCGATTCCCGCATCGGCAAACATCGCTGTTCCTGGCAACCCGTTTGGTGACATGCGCAACACATCCCAATCTGCGTGATCTATGGACGTAGACCACATGGTCCAGCGGACGACCGCGATTACCCGAAGCTCTGCACCTAACTTCAGCAGTATTTTTCTGGTTTCCCCACCAGACTCATGTAATGTGGCCTAGACAACGGTGTTCGAGCACAGACAGTCTATGTTTCTCCTGTTCCCGTAATGGCCAAGCCTCGTTGCTGTAAAGCAGCATTTTCTCGACAATTCGCAAATATCCGGATCTCGCGATGGTGCCACAGATGTTCCAGGTTGGTAAATACCAACCGATCCTTCTATACGCGAGCCAACACCGTCCGCGGTGCAACACTTGTTTTGCGGTATCATAAGAGTGTTTCGAACCGGCTTGATGCGAAACGTGTGAACGTTTTTGATGTAATTGTGTAATAACTAACCTAGATGGTGCGGCATTTGTGTTAACTCTGGTTATTGATCACTTTTCAAGAAATAAATAGGATTTGAGATTGAAACATCATGGTTTTTGTCGTCATTCCTCCCATCTTCGATGAAAGCTAACTCAGTGGTTGATGTATCGAATATGAAACTGGCCATCCTCACGGATTTCTGGTTTCGGTAGCCCATACGAATCGTGTCTAGTCTATTAAAGCCTAGTGTATTTTACTTTTCCGAAGCGTACTGTAACTGATGCTTCAGAGATGTGATGCCAAACAAAGCTCATCAACTCCACATGAGCACTGATTTGCAGGCTCTTATCATTAAGCAGTTTACCTCATTCCTCAGTATAGCTCCGGATTATCCATTAATAAATTGTCCATTAAGGTTGTCCCGTAACGTTCATTTCTAATCTTTTTCAAGTGCAGCACGCTTACTCGTGGCTATTGGAATACTTTATCTCCCCTAACTCCTTTATTAGGTGCCTTATCGCTCATGAATATTAACGGTCTTATTTTTGTAGGTAGGAGGTAGATTTTGAGGTGTCCTCATGCTCGTTTTTGTCGTTACCGTTCTCTTTACACAGGTTTCTGATAACGTCCCAAACAGAGAGCAAGGAACGCGAACCATCAGTGGCATCCTAAGACCACTGTCTTCAACCAGTCAACCGCAGTTCACCAACACGATGTCGTTCCCAGTGCAGCCGGCTAAGGGGACAACACAAACCAAGACTTGGGCAAACATTGCTGGTCAACCACCAAAAGGATCTGCTGCCGTTCTAATGAGTTCGACCGGTTGGTCAATCAAACGAACCCCTGGTCATGTTTTAACTCAAGGGTCCAGAGGTTCCATTACAACCCCTTCAACCTCAGTCATTGTTGCTAAACCCCAGACTTCACATTCAAAACCGGACGATCATGCTAAAGTAACACAAGCGCCATTTCGCTCTGGAAGACCAGAGTCATCCGTGAACTCCGAGAACGAACGTAACACCGCCTCGGTCACAACAAATGGTAAAGGTGGTAGCACTTACGAAGATTCCTTACAGCTGCTTCAGCGTGAGGCCGAATTATTGCATCAACGTTTGGCCAAGTCTATCAACCCGGCGAAGTTCGATACAAACATCGAAAAAGCTCGGTTCTTCGTGATCAAGTCGTTCTCCGAAGATGATATTCATCGTTCTATCAAATACTCTGTTTGGTGCTCGACGGAGTTGGGGAATAAAAAATTAGATGCCGCTTTTGTTGAAGCCAAAGGTCAATATCCCATTTATCTTTTCTATTCGGTCAACGGGTCCGGTCACTTTTGTGGTATGGCCGAAATGACATCTCGAGTGGACTACGACACACGTATGCGAGTCTGGGCCCAGGATAAATGGCAAGGTGCGTTCTCAGTGAGATGGATTTTCGTGAAAGACGTCCCCAATACAGCATTGCGTCACATACGGATTGAAACGAACGAAAACAAGCCGGTAACGCATTCACGTGACACAACTGAATTACCGTTAGAACGGGGTCGCCAGGTTATGGAGGTGTTCGCTGGCTACTCGCATACACTGTCCATTTTTGATGACTTTGTTTTCTACGAGCAACGAGAGAGACAAGATGTAAGCACACTACTCTTATGGTTGATATTACTGTTGTTGTTATTTTTGTTTTTCCTGATTGGCGCGTGCAAAATGTGGCTTTGTCAGTCTTACTTCATGAAATGCACGCAGTCACACTAATCTCAACCGCAAACACTGGTGGTTATTTGTATTTGATAATTATTTACTTACTTGGTAAGATCACGTCTTCTCGAGTTCACTGTTTCTATGATATTGTATTGTATTATATTCAAGCTTTAGCGAGGTATACACAATCTTTCAGCCAAAAACAGACCACCGTTACAATTCTGGTAAAAACAGGTGAAAAAGTGGGATGTGAAAAGCACAAAAATATGAGTTAATTACTCAGTGCATTAGAAAGCTCAGAACGAACACTTTCCCTATCGGTCAGTATCCGCACAAGATAGAGTTTCTGTATACGGATATACGAGACGGGATAAGTTTGTACTTAGAACGGGTGGAGGGGTGGGATTGGCATGCACACAAGTCAGTGTGTGGAGGATGGGTGCAATCAGATAGGATATTGTCAACAAACTTTAAGCATGCATCAATATGGGCATAACGCATATTGCCAGTCAGAACAGATAACGGAACTTGGGAGACACGGCTAATTATTGAGAGGCCACGCCT